ATATGCTCCCATGGATACGTACCAGAATCGCCCCATTGGAAGAACCAATGTGACATCTGAAATCCTTGTCGAGCAATGGAAGCTTTACTTGGTCATGGCATGCACTACTGTCACCAGTGTTGGGGCTCAATCGCAAAGCCAGCTGGCAAATGCTCAGCATGCGCGCAAGACTTCCAAGGGAACCCATCAATCTCAAGACAAGATCAGCTCCGCTCGAAGCCTCTTTGCATTTGTTATCCCTCTCCTTTCTGCTGAACGGGATTCCATCCGCAGTGCCATTGTTGTTGCTTTGGGGTCTATTCATCAAAACCTCTATCGCACGCTCCTTGAGTCTTTGCAGTATGCCGTCACTACTTGCAACGAGGAGGCGAAGATGAGAATTGGCAACCACTACCGCAGCCCCAGCAGCCCCCGCCGGAACAGGAAGACTGATCGTTTGCGCACCGAGGTAACAAATGTTTACAAACTCACATCTCACTTCCTTCAAGACCCCGAAGTTTACAATGACGACTGGATCGTCAACAACCTTGTCACATACGCAAAAGACATTCGAATTTTCCTTAGTGATGCCGAGGTTCAGAACGACTGGGAATTCCAGCGCTTGCGATTCCATTTCTGCGGACTGATGGAGGAGATATTTGAAGGTATCAATCGTGCTAAGGATCCTTCTCGCTGGATGCCTTTCGAGTCGCGGAAGTCTGCTTTCTCTCTTATGGAAGACTGGTGTGGATACTCGCCAAACCAATCTCAAATCTCTGAAAGAGAGGAGAATATGCGCAAGTTTCGCATGGCCCGGCCACATGAGACTGGTGAAATGAAAAATACCGCTGCTGCTATGGAGATTGAGAAGAAGAATCTACGCGCGGCAGCCTTGAGTGCAATGGCTTTCCTCTGTGCTGGTCCCATCAGCATCACCACTGAAAGTGGTTCTGTCCTCCAATTCGACGTCACTCGCATGCTTTCATGGATTGAAATGATCTTCAACACTGTCAGTGACAAATGGCATGCCATCGGTCGCCGGGCTCTGAAGAACCTCATCATTCACAATCAGGAACACTCCTATCTGATGGAGCGATCAATTGAGATGTGCTATGTTACCGAGCGGCCCAAGACCATTGAGAGCTACTTCGAAGTGGTGATGCAGGTGCTTTTTGAATATCCGGACTATCCACTGGAATTCTGGAGAGTTCTAGGAGCAGTCTTGGTGACATTGGGCAACGAAAAACGTGAGATCCGAATGAAGTCTGCTAAGCTTCTCCGAAAACTCGAGGAACGCCAGCAGAAGAACTCCAGGATTCAAGACTTCGATATTAGTATCTCAGACAAGACTACCGCAGTGTACAAGCTGGCCCAGTTCGAGATTTCGAAAAGATTAGCTAGTCAGCACTCTGACTTAGCATTCGCTATTTTCTCGGAGTTTTCTTTGCATTTCCGCGTTCTTGGACCTGATAGCCAGCGAAATATGGTTGCTGCCATCCTACCGTGGGTTCAAACGATGGAGCTACAGGTTGACCCGAATGGCGGCCCTACAGCCAAGTCATACATGTTGCTCGCAAACCTTTTTGAAATCACCATTCGTTGCAGTTCAGTCCTGCCTAACCAAGTGCAAGCACTGTGGCAGGCCTTAGCAACAGGCCCTCACGGGGGTAATGTGCAACTGGTCCTCGACTTTATCATCAGCATCTGTTTGGAACGCAAGGAGCAAAACTTTGTGGATTACGCCAAGCAAATGGTCGTGTTCTTGTCTGGGACTCCAGCAGGATCAAAGGTGATCGAGTTCTTTTTGTTGCAGGTTGTGCCAAAGAACATGGTGCAAGAGCGGAAAGAACTCACTCCACCTCCTCCTGACATCGCAAGTCTGCCATATGTTGCAGATCTTGGGGTAGTGCTCCCTGTCGGAAACAAACAAGCTGGTCTATCCCTTGGACAGGTTGCCCTGATATTCCTCGTTGATCTGATGGTCGCTCCGGTGACTCTCGCTCTGAGTGATGTTGTCAAGCTGATCCACATCGTTCTCATCCTCTGGGATCATTACACAATGACTGTGCAGGAACAAGCCCGTGAGATGCTGGTACATCTTATCCACGAACTGATAGCGGCGAAACTTGAGGACGATGCCCCGGCGGGTGCCCGGCAATCGGTCGAAGACTTTGTGGAATCAATCCGTAAGAGCGACCCCGCGGTTGTTTGGGAATACGAAGAGAACCATAGTAAAGATGAAGAGATCGATGATCGCCGTGTTCCTGCATCTATGGCTACTGTCACCCGTGAGGTCGTCAGGTTCTTTAGCTTTGCTTACGAAGGTGTCGGCGATCTGTGGGCCAAGGAGGCATTGAACTGGGCCACCTCGTGTCCAGTACGACATTTAGCATGCCGCTCCTTCCAGATTTTCCGCTGTATCTCGACATCATTAGACTCGCGGATGCTAGCTGATATGCTCGCCCGGCTTTCAAACACCATTGCAGACGAGGAAACGGATTACCAAACATTCTCGATGGAGATTCTTACTACGTTGAAGATCATCATCAGCTCCCTAGCGCCATCAGATCTTTTGGATTATCCTCAGCTCTTCTGGACGACATGTGCTTGTCTCAACACAATCCACGAGACTGAGTTCATTGAGAGTATTGGCATGCTTGAGAAATTCCTCGACCGGGTCGATCTCAGTGACCCAGTTGTGGTGGCCAACCTCATCGAGGGCCAACCACCAAACTGGGAAGGCGGCTTTGATGGTATCCAGGACCTTGTCTTCAAGGGAATGAAATCGTCCGAGTCCTTTGATCGTACGCTCGATCTGCTTCATATTCTCAGTGGTCTTCCAAACAATGATCTCATCGGAGATGGAACTCGACATCTTTTTACTGTGTTGGCTAACCTGCCCCACTTCCTTCAATGCTTCAAGGAAGGGTTCAACGACCCCAAGCCCATCGCTCGTGCCAGCATACTTGCCCGCGTGGCTGAGAATGAGGGATGCCCTCGCCTCGCAGCATCTTTGTTTGGGTTTGCCAATCAGCAGTACAAGACCGCCGGGGTCTTCCTCGACCATATCATCACCGAGATCAAGTCATACTACTTCCCCCAGCTGGACTTCCAGTGTCTCATCTTCCTCATGGGACTTCTCACCAACACCACGGATTGGTTCCGCATCAAAACCATGAGGATCCTCTGTGTGTTGATTCCCGAGGTGGATATGCGGCGCAATGAAGTCACTTGCCATGGCCCAGATCTGATCTCCCCACTACTCCGGCTTCTGCAAACCGATCTCTGTCCTCAGGCCCTGGAGGTTCTGGATAATATCATCACGGTCTCAGGGAATCCAATGGAGCGCCAACATCTTCGGATGAGTATGGCATCGGCAGCCTCTTCTCGTGCTATCCGCAAGGAGTACGAGCGAATTCAGAGTCTATACGGAATTCCTGAACCGACGGGATGGTCGGTTCCTATGCCTGCAACCCAGTCAAGCACGACCCGGCACAACGTCCACGCTGTCTTCTACACATGTGTTGAAGCTGAAGACAGGCAAGAGGAAGATGCCAGGACACCTAGTGTGGCCTTCCATGCGGATGAATACAGTGACTCGTTCTTCCCAATGAGAGCTGATACGATGAAATCGATCGATACGCAGGTTGATGGCAATATGGGAGATATCGTGCAGAAGCTGGACAGCTTAGATGACTTCTTTGAGGATACTGATACAATCACTCCTGTGCTGAACCCCATAGCTCCTCCGATGCTGCGAGGATTCACTGGTAACTATGTGGATACCAACGCACATCTGTACGATCAGCAGACCGCGCCAATTTTGCGGGAATCACTCGCTCGGACAGGTTCTACATCGTCTTTCCATAATGGTCTTGCCGAGTCTCGCCCTCCCAACATCCGCTTCGACGGTCCGGGTGTGTACTCCCCGGTAACGGCGATACCCCAAAACGCACAGCTACTACGATCCGGTTCCCATACCCGCTCCGTCACTTCCCCTGCCAACAACATGTATGCGCACACGGCTTCCAATGCCCCCAATTCCACACTGCCCGTTGCATTCGGCGATTCCGCTTTACTGTCCGATGAGGACCCCGACGAGGTGCATTCGGACCTAGATGAACGCCCGGTGACCAAGAAGATGATCACTCCACCTGCACCCATGATCCGCAGTGCAACTGATGGACCACACTCCCTAGAATCAAGGATTCGCAACGGCATGCGGAGGCTGACTGGCGGCGCAGCCAACAGAGAAAAGGAGCGACAGCGGGACCTCCTTCGCTCCCAACACCGCGCCATTGTGCAAACGGCCAACTCACCCCGCGTCCCTAAGGTACCTGAGGAGTATCTCTCGGGACCTACCAGTCACCCGGCATCACCGAGGTGAGGTTGGTACATATCTTTGCCCCTAACATACGTTTATGCTTTGTCGTTTCGCTTTTTCTTTTCTGTTGTCAGTCCTTTTCTAGGCTGCCTGGGCATTTCTTGGGAGTTTGGATCACTTTACATACATACCCCTTACTCGTCCATCTACTTCGCGATCGGTCTTGTCCATCTAGCGTTGATCCGCGCCTCTGCATCCTGTACAATCCATGTAGTCAGTCATATCCTGGAAGCTGATGGGCTTACATATTAGGTGTTTGTCATTTCAATACCGAAGTCAATACATTTGAATTTCCAAAGTCATGATGTTGTTAGAGTTCAAGTTTATGCATCTTTATCAAGAACACCACGTTGTATCTATACATTACGAAGCGAAGCGCATAACATTAAGGAGGACTCCCTGCCGAGCCGCTATACTGAGAAAAGTTGCCAACTACGCCCCCGCGTATGCGAATGAGTTCCTGGCAGTTGAAACAAGGGTCTGCCATCCTCTTCCATGTCTCTCTACGGAGAGAATCTTGGTATTCTGCCGGCCGCAGGCCTTTCCATTGCAAGGAAATCCCATACACGTTGCGGTTTTCTTGGAAAATCTAGCAGTCATGAACTACTTTTTCCGATTCAGGAAGGAATAACCCATACTAAACCATGGAGCCGAGCGCCCGTGTTTTCAGTGACTGTCGTCGACTTTCTCCCTTCAAGACAGCAACGATTTCACCGAGCGTCTCCGGTAAAAGAATCCGGGCCACTTCTTCAGACATCTGGTAGACCATGTAGAATTTCCCACTCGCCTCAAAAAGGACTTCTCCCCCCTGAGGATCGCACATGATAGGGATGCATTTCCCAAGCTCATATTTAGTAGCGACATGATATCCCCAAGAATCTACCGCTGCCCATTCACCCTCGCAGTCAAGCTCTTCCGGGTCCATTGTCCATCCCGGTGGAGGGGACACCTAGGTACATTATCAGTATCACATATTCGTGCGCTCATCTCAGATGTTTGACCTACAGAATATTCTCTGCCCGCCATAGCAATCGGAGTACGGAGTAGTGATCTGCGTGATGTCAAGCCGGGTGACCCACTCGAGCGGAATCTTAATTACCGCCTTCTTAATGGATGCAACCGGCAATTCTGCCAACATATCTTCCATGGAATTTATACTCCGTAGTAGAATCGAAATTGGCACTTTTATAGCTTCAGGGCACCAACTAACCGTGGATGCGCACGGGGCATCTTTCTCATGACAGGCATTTGGAGTACATCACTGCTCAATTTGTTATTCCCTAGGCAGCATTAAATCGAGTACATACTTAGAGGGGAAAAGTGACTGTATTATGTATATTTTTGGGATAATTCTACCCTAAGATTGGCCATATCGGTAAGAGTGACTGGAGGTCGTCTTAAACCTAAAATTTATTGCTTTTCAAGCTATAAAGACATACTCATTCACAATTACGAGGTCTAGATCGGAGAAGCAAAGGTCCGTAGCTCGCAATAATTTGCTTTCACTTCTAAAGAATTTCATCCAAATTCGAATCAGCTAGTTGTGGCAATGGCTTTTCCACCTTCTATCAGGCCATTTGCTACCTCCTAGATTCCTATGCAAGAGGACCTCAAATGTATGAGGCGTATCCCAGCCAAGCCACTGACACCAACTGTGATCCTGTGTGTTTATATGAAAGCTTGATTTGGAACGACGAAAAAAGTCCTCCAGCCATCTTTTGGTGTCTTTATGCAAACAGGTATTAGAGCTCGTTCTACCAAAGGGTCCCAAGTGTGAGGAACCTGCTTTGGAGATGTCGAACTTAAACCGATTTAGCACCTGGAGAGTCTTGGAGGTCTCATCGAACCAATAAGTAGTTCTAATTCGAGTCTCCACCGATGGGTGATTGTCAAAGGTACATTCATGGGCAAATTCGATAAAAGTTTCATCGCAACCAATATCAGGATTAGGTCGCGTGTGTTGTCGTTGTTGTTGCTTTATTCGACATAGGTATGATAATAGTTGATGTTTATAAAATGACAAAGTGAAACAGGGGCAAATGTCGACTTGTCCCGTGAAGGGAGGGCGATGCCAAATTTGATTACCTGAACGGCAATCTGCATTTGTGTCATTCAAGCTGAGCCATGACTGGATCTTGTGCCATACAGAGCACCAATGGGGAATGGAACACTGGGTACAATATATCCAGTGTTTATTTTGAAGTCGAAGACATAGGTATGTTTTCTGCGTTATTGACTCAAGTCTCGGTGCGGAATTCGGGTGTTTCTGTTGTGTGTATATGGCATATATACCTTTACAACTGAATGCAAAGCAAATTTGATCCGGGTAAATAAGGAATCGGAATATAGCGTCGACAATTTCCACTGGTACTTTCTGAAATTGGTTGGCTTTCAGTCCGGAGAAGCGAGAGTTGGCGCGCATATAAGCACGAAAATTCAAGGGGCTGGGCATTATGATGGGTATTTCAGTTTTGTTAAAGAAATAGCGTGAATATCCTGAAGAATACTGTCAACTTAGCCCGAATGCACAAAGGGATTGTTTCATGATACGCGCTCGCGTCATAGACTCTACTTTCCGCAACTTTTTTTGATCGACAAGATAAATTAGTCTACCCTAATTGGGATCCTTTCTGTATATTTTTCTCGAGGCTATCTTTCATCCAAGGTCTAAGTAGTCCAAGCTGATCAGCCAGATTTCGGGTATACCCCACACATATCACGTGATGCGCTTCCCCACGGCTTTCCTATTCCGGCCTTCCCCGCACTTCTGCATATCCATCTCGCACGCCGAGCATTTCGGATAGCCACGGTTAAGGGCTATGCGGAGCTGGTATGGCAATCCCGGATCTTTTAAATAGCGCTTCTCCCCGTTTCGGGTTTCCTGAATTCAAGCGATTCAGCGTTGTTCTGCCCCTTGGACTTGGAATTGTGAACCCGTCAATCATTATTCTCTAAGCGTATAACACTCATCACCTACCATTTGTCTTCGGCATCAGACAGCAATTACATTGATCAAGAAAATGAGTCTTCGAACAGCCATGTCTCTCCCGCGGAGGGCGACTTGCTTCTCTGCGTCCGCAGTGGACGCCCGACGCTGGCCGTCTAGCAAGGCCCGAGCTTTCTCCACAACTACGCACCGCGATGCGACGTGGGGGTTTATCGGGCTAGGACAGATGGGTATGTTTTGAGATCGGCCGCGAGGACCTCGGGTATACAACCTCGGCTATACAATGGACTGTGGGTTGTTGTTTCCAGCTGCATTAGCTAACTACATTAGGCTACCATATGGCCAAAAACCTGCGCGCCAAGATCCCCGCATCCGATACCTTGATCGTGCGCGATGTCAACGAAGATGTTATGAAACGATTCGTTGCAGAGGCCCGGGAGGCCGCGCAAAGCAATGGCGCAGGCGTCAATGAAGGCCAAGTCGAGATCGCGAAGAGTGCGCGCGAGGTCGCCGAGAAATCGGTGAGTGGCTACCACCCCTACGGGTTCAGCCTGTGGCTGAGCTAGTGGCTTCTCTGCATAAACCGCGCTTCATATACTTGTGTCCTTCTAGGGTCTGATAAATATGCTTATCTCTGTCTGCCGTTTAGATAGTCATGGTTACCAGTCTCCCAGAGTCTCAACATGTCATTGAGGTGTTTCATTCTATCCTTAAAGATGGAGCGCTGCCACCGCTCGAGCAGGAGCGTCTCTTCATCGACGCATCGACCATTGACCCCGTCACATCTGAGGATATCGCAAACGCCATCCACACCACGCAAACCGGCCGATTCGTGGATGCCCCTGTATCGGGAGGTGTTGTCGGTGCTCAGGCAGGAACGTTGTCATTCATGTTTGGCGCCTCTTCACAATCAAGCGAGCTGCTTGAACGCATCCGCAGTGTCCTCGCTTTGATGGGTAAGAAAGCTTGGCATCTTGGTGAGCCCGGCGCTGGCGTGTCTGGCAAGCTCGCCAATAACTACATTTTGGCTCTGAACAATATCGCCACTGCTGAGGCTATGAACCTCGGTGTTCGCTGGGGACTCGACCCTAAGGCGTTGGCTGAAATGATCAATTCGTCTACTGGTCGTTGCTGGCCCTCTGAGGTTAACAATCCCGTTCCTGGTGTCGTTGAGACAGCCCCCGCATCCCGTGGATATGAGGGCGGATTCGGGGTGAGCCTTATGCACAAGGATCTTCGTTTGGCTCTTGCGGCTGCGGAGCAGTCTAATACTCCTCTCGCCCTGGGTGCTCAGGCTCGTGAGGTGTACAAGGCTGTCGAGGAGGAGTATCGTGGTAAGGATTTCTCGGTGGTTTATAAGTGGTTGCAGGAGAAGTCTCAATAAGTTCTCCTCATTTTAGGTGAAGTTTCCTGGGTATTTTTCCTTTCGATGTCTCCCCCGACTCAGTACCTGCTGCTCTTTCTCATAGATGTGGATTTCAGGATATAAAATTACAATATAGCATTCTCCTACTCAATGGAATTGAGTCTAGGATTTCCATTTTGTGTTTCTACATCTTCAGAGCATATACAATATTCAATATCAATGGTTGATGTTCTGCAGCTTTCAGGTACACGGGATATAGTTGTCTCTCGCCCCATGTGACTTCCCTTTCTCTTTCCCCCCCAAACACGCCAACGCCCCCCATAGCTCCTTCTCTTCCTATTCTTACGCTCTTTCCTTATCCGACATCTGCCATTCTTTCTTCTTGCGTCTCCTCCCATCTTCTCATCCCACCTCCATCCTATTCCTTCATCCCCCTATCCCTCCATTTACTCTGCCATCGGTCCTGTCCTGGCCCATTTATCCCCTTGTCGATTTCAAGGTCATCCAGACTTTCATTCCGTATACCTCATCCCCACCTACCTCTTCCTTCGTTTCGAGTTATCATCAGACGCCTTGTAGCCTGAACAGACGGAAGGTTGCATCCTCGACAACAGGTAAGTCTTCCACTCAATTTTGCCATGTCCTACTAGCCTACCGGTCCTCGTTCTGGCTGACACTGGCACACTTGGATAGCAGCTAGACTTTCTTCTCAGAATTGTCTATATAATTTGGTGCAGGAACTCAGGTGAGTTTCCTGCGGTTGGCACTATGCCATTGAGGAATTTTGTCAAATGGAGGCTAAAGGGGCTGCCCATCAAGCCTTTTTCTTGTCTGCCAATTCCAAAGAATCAGCTGACAAAATCCTTCTCTTTCAGCATACGCCCTTCATCATGCACCCTCAGGGCTCTCAACACACAAGCTCCTCTGGTTCTGGCTCTTGTCAGACATCAAGCTCCCAGTCCGCACAATACCCCCAAGAGCCTCGTACACCCTATGGTCCCAGGTACCACCAATCTACCAATCCGAGTTCTATTGACAGCAGTGGTGCAGGCCTGACCAATCTTTTCAGAGGATTAAATCTGCAGAACTCTCGTCCCAAATTCAACGGCTCAAAGGGCACCGCACCCGTTCAAATGAACACAAACATGGACTGGTCGAATACCAACCGTGCATACAACAGCCCATTCATCCTGGTTCCGAATTCCACCGTTTTCAATGGCGTTCCGACCGTCTCTTCCTTTGTTCCTAACGGTGTCTCTGGTCAGACTGATCAGATGGGCCAATTCTCGTATCTTCCAACGGGAGTCTACCCCAACGTCAATCCTGTGATGGCTGGTGGATACTCGTCGTGGCCCTACATGATGAACTACGACATGCAGGATGGGACGACCAACAAGCAAGCATGGGTGTCTGAGGGCCAGAAGGGAGTTCAGGGAGAGAACAATGGACAAATAAATTACTATCCCTCTGCTCTTGTTTCTGGCATGGATGGCAGTTCCATGTCTGGTTACTCTTATGGAGGCATGGTTCCCTCGCAGCTTGGGTCGCTCTCACTTCCCCTCCAAATGATGAAGACTCCCAACGGTTACGTCGTTCAAGATCTGGAGGCTCTAACTCAACAAGATCCTGCCATCCCACGCGCGGTGCCTGCCATGTGGACTAACCCGTCTGAGCTGACACTCGCCAAGTGTCTGGAAAATCGCGAGGGTATAA